TTACACTGGAGCATCGGCAATCGATCGCAGGCCACATCATCGATCATAGCCACGTCAGCATTGGATAAGGCTGCTACGTCATCATTCATCAATTCCATGATCGATCGCAGCCAATCTGCGATCTTTCGCAATGCCACGTCAGCGCCAGCTAAGCAGATAGGATTGCCAGTTATCAAAGATAAGGATGCCACGTCAGCCACAATTGATCGCAGAAGTCCATGATTGATCGCCGTAGTCTACGATCGATTACCACTCTGTTGGCAGTGAATTGTTTTATTCCCGACTTCGCCCGAACTTCACCTACCACATGGCTGCGAGAATGAACCAATTAGAGGGCCAAATTCTGACTTGTTTTCCACTCCAATGAGATTATATTTAAATCAAAATGAACCATTTGTATAGAGGTTAGCTAGTTTTATAATTAAATCAATTTTAAATAATAGAAATTCTCTCTTTAGATTAGGGCTTCTTGTGAAGAAAAAAGGCAAGATCGCCATCATCCTTAGGGTTTCTACCAAGAAGACCAAGAGGAAGAAGATGGAGCTAAGCTCGAAGATAGGCCTTGAGGGTTCCATGACCACTTCCATGAGTGGCTAAACATCATCTTAGGATTTGGATGAACCTTAGGCTTGCTCTCTAAACCCTAACTCGTAGTCTTTTTGGGGAAATCTTTGTTGTAATGAATGTCTAGCCTTGTGAATATATGAATCTTGATTTTTCACATGATTCTTATGGTTGAATGCTTCCTATTAATTCTCTAGATTAGTTGCATGTTCATGTGTAATTAATTAAGGATTTTATCTCTCCACTAGCTTTTTGATGTTAATTGCATGTCTATATGTGATTAAATGGTGAATCTAGTGATGGTTATGCATGGATTTCATTTGATACACTTGTTGTTTAGTATGATAGGTTATGCCTGTGATTGATGGATTGTGCCATATCTTTAGATTAATTGTTTTAATTTCCTTGTCTTAGTTTAATTGTAGTGTGATTACATTTCAATTCCTAGATAGGTGGGCAATCCATGCTTGTATTTGATAATCCAGCTTTATTGTTATAAGTTATATGATTCTCTAGATTAATGTGCGTGACAATTGTGGATTAATTGGATGGTTTATTCTTTGACTTGATGAGTTGTGCTACATCGTAGCTTAATTGTTGTTAAGTGGACAATTCATGCTTGTAATTGATGATCCATGCTCATTGTTGCAATTGATAACACACATTTGGGTTACAACATTGTTCTTTCCCCAATTATATGAATGCTAATGGTTTAGGGACAAGCTTAGTGGTGATTCCTGTGGCCTAAGACCTCTCTCTCATTTTCATAACTGTACTCTATTTAGATTGTTTTGTCATACATTGCTTAATTTAGTTCATCATTAGTTTAACAAACCAAACCAAAACCTCTTTTCAATCAATTGACATATTAATTTCAAGTTTAATTCCAAGTGCCCTTCAATCTCTTGGGACGATCCCTTCTCACTTCATTCTACATAGTATAAAGTGTTTAGTGGTTTATAAATTTTAAATGTGATGCCCACTATACACTATTTTTAGCACACACCTACAGAAGACATTAATCATCATCTCCCCAATTAGAGAAGCCTTATGAGCCAATAGCTCCATTTCCTCATGCCTTGAGAAAGACTTCACCATTTGGGAGACAAGAGGGAAAAATCCATAACATGATGGAAGTTTTCAAGCAAGTTAAAATTAATCTTCCTCTTCTAGATGTTATTAGGAAAATTCCACCATATGCAAAGTTCTTGAAGGACTTGTACACTCAAAAGAGGAAGAACAAGGGATAAAACCCTAAGAAAGTGCTCCTTATGGAGCAAGTGAGCTCCATCCTTCTACATAACACTGCTCCTAAGTTCAAGGACCCCGGTGCTCTAACCATTTCTTGTGTTATAGGGAACCATGAGGTTCGTAGGGCTCTTCTTGATTTAAGGGTAAGTGTTAACCTCATCCCTTACTCCATGTATGTATAATTAGGATTGAGTGACTTGAAGCCAACTGCAGTGGTACTCTAATTAGCCGATAGGTATACCAAGAAGCTTAGGGGATTTGTCGAGGACATCCTCAGTATGGTTGATAAGTTCTACTTTCTGGTTGATTTTGTTATACTAGATACTAAACCGGTTCCCAATACTACCAATCACATTCTAATCATCCTAGAAAAACCATTCCTTACCACCGCTAATGTAACTGTCAATTATAGGTCCGTCATTATGGATATTTCTTTTAGCAACATGATGGTTAAGCTTAATGTGTTCAATGCAAGTCAACATCTTATCGATGAAGACGATTGTTTCCTAGTTGATGTCTTGGATGAACTCCTAGAAGAGTCTCTTCCTTCAATGCTCTCAAAGAACCCTCTTAAGGAGAACCTTTCCTCTATTCTTTCCTAGGATCCTCTTGAGGCGTGTCTTTTGGAAATGTATGGCAATTTTGGTTTTGACAATGAAGGATCCATAAGCAAAGTAAATGCTTTGATGGCCTAGTGGTCACCTTGGACTTCCCGCCATAGAAAAATTCAAAAGAACCTCTTTCTCCACTTTCTAGCACTCCACCGGTTCCATCCCTCATCTCTTCACCCACTCTTGAGCTTAAGCCACTCCCTTCCAATCTCAAGTATGCCTTCTTAGGCGGAAAAGAGACTTTTCTGGTCATCATTACTTCAAACCTTGAAGACGACCAAGAGAATGATCTTTTGGAAGTGCTTAAAGAAAATAAGGAAGTCATTGGATAGAGTGTAGCCGACCTAAAGGGAATTGACCCTTCCGTATGTATGTATCGCAATCATATGGAGGAGAATGAGAAACCCTTTAAAGATGCTCAAAGGAGATTGAACCCAAATATAAAAGAAGTGGTCAAAAAGAAGGTAGTGAAGCTATTGGATGCGGGGATCATTTACCCTATCTCCGATAGCAAGTGGGTAAGTCCAACACAAGTAGTTCCCAAAAAGTCAGGACTTACGGTTGTAGAGAATGCTAAAGGTAATCTTATTTCCAAACGCACCGCCACTTCATGGTGTGTGTGAATTGATTACCGAAAATTGAATTCCACCACTAGGAAGGATCATTTTCCCTTACCCTTTATTGATCAATTCTTGGAAAGATTGGCCAAGCAAAAGTATTATTGCTTCCTAGATGGTTACTCGGGGTACAATTAAGTGGCCCTAGATCCGCTTGACCAAGAGAAAACCACCATTACTTGTCCCTTTGGCACATTCGCTTGTCGACGGATGCCATTTGGTTTGTGCAATGCCCCCGCCACATTCCAAAGGTGTATGATGTCGATTTTTTCGGACATGGTGGAAAAATATTTAGAAGTCTTCATGGATGATTTCTCGGCCTTTGGGTCTTCATTTGATTCGTGTCTCCGAAATCTCTCACTTGTGCTTAAAAGATGTCGCGAGACAAACCTTGTGTTAAGTTGGGAAAAGAACCATTTTGTGGTTCAAGAAGGGATAATGTTAGGTCATGTTATATCTCAAAGGGGAATCGAAGTTGATAAAACAAAACTAGAGCTCCTTACCGTCGATTATGTTTCAAAGTGGGTTGAGGCTTGTGCTACCAACACAAATTACCATTCCGCGGTAATTGCATTTGTCAAATCAAATATCTTTACTCGTTTTGGCATGTCAAGGGCAATCATTAGTGATAGAGGTGAACATTTTTGCAATCATTTCTTGAGGTAACTCTTCTTGAAGTACTCCGTCACTCATAAGGTTGCCACTCCCTACCATCCTCAAACAAGTGGGCAAGTTGAGGTTTCAAATAGGGAAATTAAGTAAATTCTAGAAAAAATGGTGAACCTAAACCGAAAGGATTGGTCAAGGAAGTTAAATGATGCTTTGTGGGCTTATCAGACGGCTTATAAGACTCCAATAAGCATGTATCCTTATAGACTTGTTTATGGGAAGCCTTTTCATCTTCCTGTTGAGCTAGAACACAAGGCTTTGTAGGCAATCAAGAAGCTTAACCTTGATCTTGATAAAGCCGGTGAGAATCGTTTGCTCCAATTGAATGAGTTAAAGGAATTAAGAAATGATGCCTATGACAATACTAAAATTTACAAGGTTAGGACAAAAGCTTTTCATGATAAACATATTGTGAAGAAGTCCTTTGAGCCCGGGCAAAAGGCGTGGCTATTCAACTTTAGGCTTCCTGGAAAACTACGCACTAAATGGGAAGGCCCTTATGAAATCATTTCTATTTCACCTCATGGGGATTGAAATCAAGTGCTTAAAAGATGAGAGAATCCTTAAGGTGAATGGTCAAAGATTGAAGCCCTACATTGAACGGAAGAGATGTGGAAGCCTCCCTCTTGGTGGATCCCATCTATCTTGAAGATTAAGAACAATTCAACATTGCCTAGAGATGTTTAACTTAGTTTAATAGAATTTTCAAACTTTATTCTTTCTCCATTTCTTTTTATTTTTCAGTCTTTTGTCGCCTAGATAGGTTCTATTGTGTATCATTAAAAAATTTCAGGCATCTAGTGGCTTTGAAAAATTCCACCTTAGAAAAATTTCAAAATTTCAGTGTTTAGTGCCCAGGCAGCAACAGTGCGATCGATCGTGAGCTCGACAGTGAAATTCACGATCCATCGTAATCCATCACAATCGATTCGCAGAACCAAATTTTGCCTAAAAATCAACTCTCTGGATCTATCGTTCGTAGGCCTAGTCCAAAAGAGTTTCTTCAAAACCAATTGGTCCGATTGAATTTTCATTTTTCAAGGAAAAATCCGTAATCTGGCCACATGGGCATATAAAGTGCCTTTTATTACTTCAAATTTTTTTTTTTTTTTTTTCTTTTTGCTTTCAAGAAATATATTACAAATAATGATGGGTCGTCGATGCAAAAAGTCATGTAATGTGGCCAAATAACGTTACACGTGTCTGAAATTTTTAGCCAGTGGAGGTAAAAATTAGATGAGAGAGTGTGGAATTATAAATATCCTGCCAGACTTGAGTTGGAAAAAATTCTATAAAGGCAGCCAAACCCCCAAAACGTCGGAAGCCAAATAGGTGTCTCTCTCCCCGTTTTCTCTCTCCAAATTGTTTCTTCCCCCCTCCCTCTCTTCTAACTTTTGGTTGCGTCTCATATCCTTCTCTTTGATTCGCTTCAAATCCCATATATCGAATTATATTACTCCTCGCAATCCTGGGAATTTTGAGAATCCGATGTTATGTACGGTAGATTTCGCATAATTCAGACCAAAATTTGATCGATATATAAATATCTAGAGAGAGAAGTAGAGGTAGGTAGAGAGAAATTGAGAGTTGTTTTTGGAGGTAGGTTTTGAAGACGTATGAGCTGGTCGGTCAATCTGGGTTTCTCTTCGAATTCAAACCACTTCATCACTTGTCTTCTCGTTTTTATTCTTCATTACTCACCTCAATTACCTCCTGCCTTGTTTAAATTCGAGAAACCCTTAGAACCCAGAACTCAATTGATATTATTACTGTTGAATAATATTAATCACAATCATTGTTATAGTAATCGCGTATCGAATTATGGAATCGCGAGAACAGAGTAATCGCCAAATGGGGAAAGGTTTGTTTCGAATTACTTTATTTTTGTTTTATGTTTTCTGTTTTTACCCACTGTTGTTAAATTACGGAATAAACGCAGGGAGTTGATGATGACGACCCACTGTTGTTAAATTATGTCGGTGGCACTTTCTTTCTCTCTCTAGCATTTTAAGATATAATATATATATATATATATATATTAAAGATATGTGCATTTTATATAATTATGCAGTTGACAGAGCCATAATATACCTATTTACATGTAATCATGTTGGATATTATGCATGTTACTGTAATCTTGCTAAAGTATATTTAGGTAAACCATATAAAGCAATATAAAGCAGTTCTGCTTGGTCCAAATTCAGACCAAGCCAAGATTAATTAACTAAGTTGAACAAAAAAGTTCTGTGAATTATTACATTTATGGTCATCATGGTATATACTTTCTCAGTTTCCTGAGGGTAAATGTAGGCTAGATGCTGAGATTTTGGTTCCGGGTCATCCTTATAGTGAAACCACATAGATACATTTGGATGCCAAAGTCTGTTTGAACTGAAGCACAGCCATAACTAGCTTGATGCTCAACTAAAATATAATATTTCTTAATAGCACCCTTCTTTCACTCAGCCTGCTACTAGGTGCACTTAGACCACCAATGTTTATTGCTCTGACTATTTTGTGGACTTAAAACTATTCTGGATTTTCTTACATTGGGGGTAGTAAAGAAATGATAACATCGGTTATGGAGAAAAGGAAAAAAAGGAAAGAAAATGATAATGTTAACGTTTGTGTGGTTGATTAAAGAAGAAAAATGAAGTATTGACCTTGTATAATGTTTGAAAAAAATAGTAGATAGAAAAGAAATTAAATAATTGTTTTATTTTGTGAGCGATAAGAGCAATACTGGAATTCACTTGTTAAAAAAAGCAGGGACAAAATAGGTAATTACTAGCTATAATATAATTTGTCCATTTTTGAAGGATAGCAAAATGACTGTTCATGGATTTAGTGAGCCCCTCCAAATCCTTCCATTTCAGTTTATGTTTTCTCAAAATTTTATACCAAACACAACATAACCTTTCCCTCCATTTCCTTTCTTTTTTTCTACTTCAATTTCTCTCCAACCAAACTGGGCCCAACAATTTGGTGAAGGTGTGGGTGTTCCAAGATTCTTATACACTGATAAAATTGAGGTGGCTAATTAAATAATCAATAATTGGAATCTCCTTATAAGTACACTGTTGTTCTGTCCTGAATTTTGTTGCTAATCTTATAAGAATATAATAAAAACTTCCTATCCTCATTGAAGCAACTACAGAAAAAAAATGAATGAGGTGTCTTGGCTCGAAGGAAGAAAAGAAAAAAATAAAATAAATTGAACATCATACATGTTGTAAATTGTATCCACTTTTAAGCTTTAATTTAGGTTCTCTATATCAAAATAACTGGAGCTAGCTCAAAAAAGTTTTGTTTCATTTCATGAGAGAAAAGGAACGGAAGTAGCAGAAACATATTATTTGCAAGCCATTCAGATGTGTGGTTGTAGTTATGCTGTAAACATGTGCTTAGTGGTATGTACTGGGTTTTAATAACCCAAGCTTCTCAGTTCAGTAACCTGTGATTTTCCAAGCATTTATGGCCTTCCACGTTACATCATCCATGTACTTGGTATTTGTATTTGGTGTGGGTATGTGTCTAAGTGTGGGACATCCTTGAATCTCAACTCTTAGGATTAATGGACCTGAGTCACCCGATTTTTTCCAAAACTTGGATACATGTGGCCATTTAAATACATAATATGCTATGTAATAACGCTATATATGATGCTATTATTCTTTTAAACTATACACGATTTTAGTTTAAATTAAATAGAGTACAGGGGAAAAAGGGGGATTGAAGTAAAGTCCTTCTTTTCTTAATTCATCGGGAAAAAAAGAAACCCTTCTTTCTTATCAAATTTGAGCATTCTTTTTCTTCCATCACTGCATGGAGATGGCTGTACTTGACCGACACAAGATTTGTTACCCTCATCGGGTTCTATTTCCATTTGGGAGTTTTCGCTTAATAGGGATCAAAAAGTAAGGAACATTTTGGAGCTACCATAGGTTATAAAACTGCCGCAAGAGCTGATTTGGATTGTGTACGACATGTATCTCATACCTGTACCCATGTTGTGCCTTGTCAACACGGGTACGGTGATGGGAATAGAAGAGTTTATGTAACACACTGGCCAACTTCCTTTATGGTGTTATAGAGTTCCACTTCTAGAATCCTTAAATTTATACGGGTCTCATTTGTGAGATACGTGTAGTTGTTTTTGCCAATTATGTTTATTGCTTGAATCAGCAGTAGTTGGAGCAATTTCAAAATATGTGCAAGGAATTCATTTAGTTTTCCTATCTAATTGAGGTTTTGGCCAATTACTCTGTTTTGGTTGCAAAATTGAAAATGGTTTTAAGAATCTGAGGTGTTTTTAGTTGTGATGAGGGATTGAGTAGAAACATTTGTACCATATTTTTATTTTTACTTTTTTTATTTGAATAGAAAAATTGATTTAATGTGGACTCTTACAAGAAAAAGAAAAGGAAAAAGTTACTTTTCAAAAAAAAAAAAAAAAAACAAAAAGAAGAAAAGAAAAAAGTTGATTGCAGAGCAACTGATGGTTGTAGTGATAGACGTGGCTCAGATTCTTCATGCATTGACATCTGATTGTTCATCAGATGACAACATTTTCATTAGGTAAACACGGAAGGAGGAGATGGTGTGAAGTGATTTTTTATTGTTGGATGCAATAAATTAGGGAAATGGGTTTTCTTGTTTGAAAGTTTCTTTCAGGTGGAACGTGAGCGTTCAGTATCAAGATAGAGCAAAGTTGAAGGATATTTACTTCGTTATGAAGTGTTCAGTTATATGTCGAGAAAACCATTTATTATCAAAGTTGACTCTCCATCTCTTAGGTAGGGGCAAATCTTAAATATGACTTCTCATATATTTATATTACAGTGCATCTTGCAAAAAGCAAGACTAAATATTGAATGTGCCTCACCTAGGTTATACAAATTCAACTCAATTAAACGTTATTCATTTATTTATTTTAATTTTTTTTAAATAGGTTCTACTTATTGAAGCCCTGATGTATACTAAATGGGTTATTGCCTCTATAGTTGAAATTTTGAAAGGTCCAGAACTAAAAAGCATAAGATGCTCTTTGACAACAAGATTTTCTTCTTCTTCTTCTTTTAAATTCCCGAAAAAAAAATTTCCTTGTTTAAAAGTCAAATTTACTGTTTGCTGTAACATATCTCGTTTATAATGATTTGAGACAAATGTTGTCGTCTAAATCTGCTGAGTACATAGTGGTACTCAATAAAAGAGAGGTCCCTTTTTCTTTTTTTTTTTTAATTACTTTTCTTTTAGTACCCTAGCAATCAAATAACTGGATAGCTCAGATTTTCTTTGCTTGTAAGAGGTTTGCAAACCACAAAATTTATAATTAGATAGTTGAGGTGATTGGTTTAGGATATTCTAAGTATTTGTACAATGGCTCCTACATAAAGCAAGGTTATGGTAAGCAGATGACTTTTCGTTTGTTATCATGAAATGATGCTTTGACTGTTTTTTATTTTCCTTTTGCTGATCTTGTTCCCTTGCAAGTTCAGTTGTTATCCTTTTGGCAGTCTTCTACTTGCAAGGGCAGCTTATTTATGTCGTTCATGGTTTCATCTTTTGGCAACTACTTTAGAAACGGAAATATGATTTTGATATACATGATATATTGGTGCATATATACATTGCAGATAGGGTGCCTGTTGACTTACTCTAAATTTATATATCCACTAATACTTGCATATGAATGAATTAAGCATTTGCTATGGTTGCATGAAGATTCAACCTGGTATGAAAATTTGGTTTCCAAGTCTAGTTTTTTTAAAAAAGTTCTCTTAAGTAATCCTTTTTTTACAACTTCTCTTTTATCCTCCAAGTGTTTGGATCAATTTCATTAAAGTTGCTCCATTAGTGGTCCTTTTTGTCCATTTTGTTATTTATAAAAAAGTAACATAGTAGAATTCCCATGCTCATCTGATATCCAAGAAAAAAAAATGTTATTCATTAAATGAGTTTTGGCTGTTGAATTCTGATCACATTTTGTAAGTCATTTGAAATTTGTTGAAAAACTGAACCTTACTAGTCAAATGGATATAGACTGTCCGATTTGCTTGATTTTTTGTGGTTCTTTAGCTAAGTTGAACCTGGGGCTATAAATGAGCCGAGCCGAGCCGAGTAGTGGTCTGTTTGAGCTAGTGGTATCTGGCTGCACCTCATTGTGTTGCTATCTGTGTATGTGATGATAGGTAGCATACTTTTAATGTATGACACACACACACACACACACACACACATATAGCAAGAGTTTGATCGCAAAGTAGATGTGGAGGCATGAGTAATGTCATGACTAATATATCCAGAAAAGAGAGCAGATGATATCATTATTGACTTTAATTCATTTGAATGAGATTCTGAGTACATTTTTCTTGAAGAGTATACCCATTTATGAGTTTGTAGAGTTTAAAACTATGCCCCTATCTCAGGAGTCTCAGTTCATTCATGTTTTTTTGTAGCTCTTAGCTATTCAAATGTTGAAAGAAGGCATGCGGCCACACCATCTGTTATTGTCATAGGTGGTGGTTTTGCTGGCATTTCTGCTGCTCGAGCTCTTCATGATGCTTCATTTCAGGTATTCAAAAAGGAATATTTATATTTTGATGGATAATATGTATTTCTGTTATTATACCTTTTGGCAGTAAGAATCTTTGACACTTGTCAGCATTGCCAATGTTCAACAGCTTTAAATTATACCTACATCTGTTTGCTTATGAAATTTGTGAAAACCAAGATTTGGGAAAGGTGGTAATTGTATTTTTATCATGTGAGAATTACATAATATTTTAGTTTTCTTTTTTGCATAATATATGATGTACTGACACCAATGATGGGTGGTGTTTTGTTTTTTTAAATCTTACATAATATGGAAAAAGTTGGTGTATTTGATACACCATTGCCTATATTGTAGTTGGATGGTAGTGTTTTGAGCCTCGTATATATTTGTATTTAATGGGTGCTTTATTAGTTTCTACAGTACACTTAAGTCTACCTGAGACAAAAATTTATAGTTGTTAGGCACGGACAAAGTTCTGAATGTGGTGTCTCTATCACGCCTCAGTACCAATGCCAAAAATGAGTGCTATAAAGAAGAGATATTTACTAAAGAAGCATTCCTTTTGTGTCACTTTATTTTTATCAGTTTATTCGACAAGAATCAAACTGATTATAATTTTTGAATATATCAAGATATTACAATTTCTGTTTCATCGGCAGGTTGTCCTATTAGAATCACGTGATAGGATTGGTGGTCGAGTTCACACCGATTACTCATTTGGTTTTCCAGTTGACCTCGGTGCATCTTGGTAACTTGAATTTTTTTAACTTCTCTCTTTTATGGAAAATTTGGGTACCTCCGGTTTGACACTTTCTAAAGTTTTCTTCTCATTGATGTTTCAGGCTGCATGGAGTATGCCCAGAAAATCCTTTGGCACCTTTGATTGGAAGGCTAGGACTACCCCTCTATCGTACTAGTGGTGACAACTCTGTGTTGTATGACCATGATTTGGAGAGGTAATCACATGTCATCTTTGTTGCTTTTGATGCTCCTAATTTTTGAGCAGTAGCTAAACTTAGGTCAAGTTTGCAGGAGCATGAGCTTGTTGCTATTATTTGGTTATGAGATAAAGTTCCTCTCCATTTATTTCCTCTATGGTCAGAATTAGTTTTTGTTTTTGGCACTTACCATAATATGGTGTCTTATACCATAAATGCAGATACAAGACCATTTATATAGTCCCATTCAAAAATCCATTTATATAGTTGTTGGAAGCATTTATGCCGCAAAGGGATAGTTGAACTAGCCGTTATATTTTGAATTTCGACGAAAGCAGTTGATTGGAGCTAAGGGCAGTCAATTGGTTTGGTTAGACCAGTCTGCCGATCCATGTATATGAGTCGACTGATTCTTTATGTTCTCAGAGTCCTCAACTCTCTTGACAGAACCAGTTGACTGGTCCTTTGGGATCAGTCGACTTACCTCAAGGAAGTCAGTGATGGCTACTCTCTGTTTAGAATGAGTTGACTGATGCTCAGTGAGTAGTCGATTGAATTGGCTTTTCTTGAGTATTTAACCTTGCTAAGTTCATCTTAGGCGCTTTTTCTCCTCAATCTAGGATTTTAGGAATATATGCAATTCAATTCAAGTCCTATCTCTAAGTGTCTAGAGACCCATATGAAAGTGTCTAGAGACCCATATGAATGATATGTGGGTCTTAGAGACTAAGTCTTAGATTTGAGCTTTCAAAACAAGTTATTCAAAATAACTTAACAATAACTTCTAGCTCTCACCATAGACCATCTACCCAAGTCTTTATCTTTGATCTTCACAGTCTTTTGTGCCTTGAGTTGAAAGTCTTTGACTTCAATGTCTTTTGAGCTTTAAATAAGATCTTTAAATCTTGGATCCTTCTTGACTTTGCCATTGATCAACTAGCTCACTTGAATTTCTTACATGTATAACCTGTTTAGCATAAACTCAAGTAGACATTAAATTCAAGTTTCAACACTTTCAATGATTTGTTATCCTCAAAATGTTTCATGTGCCCTTGGTTTGAAACCTTAGGTCAACAGTAGCTGTTTTTACCCCTTCTAAATTTGAAGTGCATTTACCTGCTCTTGTTCTCAGCTTCCTAGTTTTTACTGTTGAAAATAATCTTCCAGGGTATTTTTTAGTCTCATGAGATTTATCAATTTTACTTACGAATTGGTCTTCTTGTACATCATTCCTCAAATAACTTCTCTTATCTGTATCCATTTTGACATTTATTTAACTCTTCTGAACTTCCACGTAGTCGTCACATTTCATGACTTTGAAATTTTGCGCTTGTAAGATTTAAAGCCATGCATGGGGGTCAAGTGCTTTCTAATTCTCTTTTTTCAGCTACGCACTATTTGATATGGATGGGAATCAAGTTCCTCAGGAATTAGTCAAAAAGGTTGGAGAAGCTTTTCAGAGCATTTTGAATGAGGCATGTATTCTCTCTCTCTCTCTCTCTCTCTCTCTCTCTCTCTTCTTTTATGCTTAAGTTTTTTGCCTTTTTCAATTGAAATTTGAAGCCTTTGAGATCTCGCTCCCCCCTCCCTCCCTCCTTTTATGCTTAGATTTTTCTCTTTACATTTTACAATTGAAATTTGAAGCCTTTGATTTACACTGCATGCAATTTCTGCGCTTTTGTACTTTCTCTAATGAAAAGGTGTTCTCCACATCATTCCGTGAAACAATTGCTGGTGTATCTGTGTTGATGAGTTGTTCTTTAACTTGTTGAATGCAGACTGATAAAGTAAGACAAGAACACAGTGAAGACATGTCCATACTCCATGCTATCTCAAGTGTGTTTGAAAGGAGGCCAGATTTAAGGTTTTATAATTATCAAACAATAATTTAATAGCGAGCTTATAATTTGCCTCTACTCAAAGATGGTATATTTGAAGAGATCCTTATTATAGGTTGGAAGGCCTTGCTCATAAGGTGTTGCAGTGGTACTTGTGCCGAATGGAAGGCTGGTTTGCTGCAGATTCTGATACCATCTCACTTAAGTGTTGGGATCAGGCAAGTTTCTTTCACCCTAAATTCTAGACTTTATCGTAAACGCCTTGATTGTTTCAAGCTAACAAGATCTATAAAGGTGTAATACCTTTTTCCTTTCTCCAAAATGTTTTGAATTGTGAAATTTTAGCTTTCAACTCCATAATCATCATCCTTGTCTTTATCCCATATGGATTGGGTCTGCCCTTACCCTTCTGACTTGACTACTATATAAATCGATATGGCAAGGAGCATTATCGTCCTCCCTACGGGGACCAGACTGTTGACCAGGTCTTTCCCTACATGAATTTTCTTTTTCCATGCTTTTCTATTACAAAGCCATGTCTCCTAGTATGCTTGGTATAACAATGGGGAAAGAAAAGAAAGGATAACATTATTTATGATAGAAAAGAAAAGAAAGGAAAGGATAGTTTTAACCTCTCATCATGTTTGGTTAATTAATGAGGGAAAGGAAAGGAAATGACAATCTTAGCACTTAATTATGTTTGGGAAAAAAAAGGAAAGGAAATTGTTTTAATGAATTTATAACTATACCCTTTCACGTTTAAAAGAGAAATATATAGGTAAGAAGGGATAAGACAAATATAATGATTTTGGTAAAAAAAATTCAAGCCAAAGTGACAATCTGAAAACAGAGAATATAAAATAATGCCCGAACACTCATATGGTTTTTTGATTTTATCTTTTATAAAAACAGGGCATATTTGGTATTAGAAAAGTTTCATTAAACTTTGTAACCCTTTCCTTCCATTTCCTCCCATTAGTGGAAGGATAAAATAACTTACCCATCATGAATAATTTGTATCCCTCCAAATCCCTCCATTTCTTTTCCTTTCCTTTAAAAATTCATACAAATGCAGTAGACCATTTCCCTCCATTACCTTTGTTTTCTTTTCCTTCCATCTCTCTCCAACCAAACTGGGTCTTAAAATTTTTGAAATCATTTCTAATTATTTTATCTCATGTGAGTTTTGGTGAATCTCTTTGTCTTTTACCTTCTTTGGGTCTTATTTTTAAAAATAATTTCTAATTATTTCATCTCATGTGAGTTTTCGTCAATCTCTTTGTCTTTTACTTTTTGTGAAAACAGATCTTTCTTTTCTTACTAATGCATCTACAGGTTTATGTTGTATATGACCAAACCACGTAAGTCTACTTTTCTTATTTGATCACTAATGGGTGTAACTCCTGCGTTTGGAGGGTGGTGCCCGTGTTGTTTGGTGGGTGCTTGTGGAAGGAACGGAATAGGAGATCCTTCGATGGCGAGGAGAATCCTATTGGGGCGCTAAAATTCTCTATCATTAGTTCTATTTTTCGTTGGGTTTCTAGGAGAAACTGTAAATCCATGGGGGAGATAGATGATTTTTTGGACAGGTTGAGAGATTAGGGTTCCTATTTGGTCCTTGTACTGCTTTTGTGGGCCTCGTTCCCCTTTTGAACGCATTTTAATACTACCTTACTTATCAACAAAAAAAAAAAAAAATCCTCTCTTCTACTCATTCCTATCATCCATCTATGCAATTCTCATTTCAGCTATATATGTGTGTGTGTTTTAATGGTTAAATTTCTGCTCCGTAAAATATAGTTGGCCTAATAACCTTCCTACAGAATTTTATTTTTAAATTATTTGATATTTGTTTGCAATATAGGATACACCTAGCTTCTCTCCATTTTGTCTAACTTGGTCCAATCCTACTTATTACATCATCATCTATTTTCCCATCATCTTGTATTGTAATATTATATTGCTATTCTGGTACTTCATTAGCCTTACATTCCATGTATCTTTTTTGTTCTTGCTAATTTTTAGGCCTTCTGCTTCTAGAGTATTTCTCTATTTTTCTAATTTTATTGCTTAGACTTCTTTAGAAGTCTCCAATTGGATTATGTCATCAGAAAACAACATGAACTAGAGATGTCTCAAATATCATTCGTTATTTAATCTAAAACTACTGTAAAATAGGTTTGAGCTTAGCACTGATCCTTGGTGTGATTCTACTTTTGCGGATAAATCAGTAGTCTCACCACATATAATAGAACGCTAGTCCTTGCCTAACTGTATAAGATTTACAAGTTTTCCTTGTAAAGCCCAGCAAATTATGTCCCTTGGCACTCTATCATATTTGTTATCTAAACCTTTGAATGTTTTGATCTTTTTCTTTAATTCTACAATCTCTATTAATTTTCTTGTTAAGTAGATTACCTCTATAGTGTATGTACTTGGTATAGATACTGAAGTTTCTTTTCTTAATCTGTATTCAATTATCCTTTCCCATAGTTTCATTGTACGACTATGGTTTTTCACAATTTATTTATTTATTGGCATCATTTCTTCTCTTAGGATTTTTTTAAATGTCTTTGTTAACCATTCAATTCCAATCTTTCTTAAAATTCTCCATGCCTCTATATCAAGTGCTACAAACATTATTATTACCCATCTTTTTAAGTGTTTCCACTGCATTCTTATTATTAATTTCATTTATCATTCCTATGTAAGGTTCGTTACTTAAAATTTCTTCGCAAGTATATTCCTCATTTTATAATTGTTGAAAGTAATTTATCATATTTCTAATATACCATTTTATTTTACTAATATTATTTGATCTATATTCTTAATATGCCTAACTTGATCCATAGATCTAATCAACCTGTCCTTATTTTTTGCTAACATCACTACCACCTCCCAACAGTCACACTAGAAGAGGACCCAGCTTCTTTTGAAGTCATTTATGAGCCAGACATTTTATTAAATAGATTTGGGTATACACCTCAAAAACATAACAACAACAAAATATATAGAGAACCACCTCTCTAACACACCAACAACTACAACCAGAGAGATCACCATCTTTTGAGATGCATAAAAAACGACCGCACAGTCACCACATAAACCCTAAAAGCAACCAAGTAGACCAAACCAGAATCGCAAACGAAGAAGAAAAATCCGATGTTGTAGAACCACGCGAAACACGAAAAAACCATCAAATTCTTTACAAGCCACTATATGTGGATGTGATCAAATTTTGCAATTGATCAAAGTTGGATCCGCGGTACGTGTGGATGTGACTAACACTACTTCCTTGCAAACAAATCCCATCTTGGAATATCTTCAAAACCCTTCACGCCTGCTAGGGTTTACACAAACTTGCCCTATGGTTTCAACTACACACCCTAGAGCTTTACAAACCACTCTCTGATACGATGTAATCTTTAAGAGATAATCAAAACAGCAATAGTAAAGTAGAAGATGAAGAAGAAAGAGGAGGAGAGACAAAGAAAGAAAGATGGGGAAAGAGAGAAAGAATGAAGAAATACTTTCATCCTTCCACCACATTGTATTTATATTAACAAGTTTCAGATGTTACACATAAGCCCCCAACATTATATAAGTAATAACAAATAAGCCCTTGACAACATATGTGACATAATTTTATTACAAGGGATGAAGTGAGCCATTTTCCAAAACCTGTCCACCACAACTAAAAAAAGAATCACGTTTTTGGCAACCTAATGATAAACTTTTCTATGATCGTTCCACAGTGGGAGTGTGGATCAGGTAAAAGGGTGTATACTCCTGTGTTTTCCTTGCTTTCGGTGGGACACAATTCGAGCAACATCTTCATTCAAATATGACCAATAAAATTTATCCTCAACTAAGGCATAGTCCTATATTTACCAAAGTTACCAACGAGTCCTGATGCATGTAACTTCCAAACTGAAAGGTCTTTAATGGTTGAGGGGTTCATGCGTTCATGCATAACCTAGACACTTGGAAATGTAGTTCGCCTTGAATCACAAAGCCAAAATAGGTTTAAGTAGCAAATTAGCAATGGTTAATTGTTTAAATGATATAAATGAACTTATATTTTACATAATTGCTTCAAGTACGTGTATGGTATGGTTGAGGAATTTAGCATGATTGGTTAAATTATTTTATTTTTAGGGTGTCAGAAGTACCTTAATATTTGAAAAGTAACAGCACACATACTTAAGGGGCTTACCCCTAGAATGTGTATGGTAACGTTGAGAAATTTATAAATGTTTTTCTTATATGTATATTGTATAATAATATATTATTATTTATTCTTTGATTGACGGATACTTCCTATGGCTGTCCCCTATTTTTTGAGGTTTGAGCTATAAGACAATTCCTACGCTCCTTTTACCATATGCTTAAATTGGACGGGATAAGCAAGCACGAAAATAAAAACTTCCATAAATGCGGAGCTAAAATACATTAAACTCATTGCTCATCCTGAAGATCGATTGAAACGGTAGAATTTGATTCTTTTTTTCTTTCTTTTTTCCATAAATAAACGGTAGAATTTCTCAAAATCCGGTTCTTAAATTTTCCAAAAAAATCTGAACTGTTATAATGTTTTAAAAGAACTTTTTTAATATACCCGGTGCAATTTTGACTTGGGCAGAATTTTATTTTATTTATATATTTGGTAGGTAAGAGAAAATAATACATATATAAAAGCTCATGTGTGAATTCAAATTTCTGGTACTTTATCTTTGGCCTCTTAGGCGTAGCTTAGTGTCAAGAGGAAGAAAGCTCTTTTTAGCTTTATTTTCTCTTATTTTAGGAGAATATTAGGGGAACTGCTAACACTTACGAGACTAAAATCTTTCTAATTTTTTAGAATAGTCCCAGAATGTGATACCTAAACGTGAATCCATATTAAATTGTCTTGTAGTAATTCCTCTCCTCCACCCCCAAATTGCCTCATATATAAAAGTTCATGTGTGAATTCAAATGTCTGGTGCTTTATCTTGGCCTCTTAGGCGTAGCTTAGTGTCAAGAGGAAGAAAGCTCTTTTTAGCTTTATTGTCACTTATATTAGGAGAATATTAGGGGAACTGCTAACACTTACGAGACTAAAATCTTTCTAATTTTTTAGAATAGTCCTAGAATGTGATACCTAAATGTGAATCCATATTAAATTGTCTTGTAGTAATTCCTCTCCTCCACCCCCAAATTGCCTCCCCCCCCCCCCCCCCCCCCCACAAAAAAAATAAAAATTCATAAGATATAACTATTTTGGATATAAAAGTACTACCTCTTCAAAATTAACTTCTTGAAGAATTAGTAAATGAAAAAAAAAAAATCCAGAAATTGTAATACACCACCATGGTTTTGATTGGCACTGTGTTGCCTTATCACTATACTTCGAATTATTTGCATGATTGACTTCAAATAGTGTAACACTTAAAGCTATAATAAGATCAATGGAAATACTTGTTAGTTGTACAATTGTACATTATTCTGTTTCAGAGATGCTGGCCTTTAATAAAAAAAGAGGGGAAAAAAAAAAAAATTTGTGTAATCAACTTTAGGTCGAGACAGTTTATTTTCACTTTCTAACTCTTGATCGCTTGGGAGTTTTTAGATGCATCTAAAAGCTCCATAAGCTGCTTTGTTTCCCAGCTCTATTGAAATGCCTCTTCACACATGCACACAAGTATGTGCCAAGTGAACTAGCAATAGGAAATGAAATGAAGTCACGGAGAGAGGAAATGGAAAGATAGAACAGTTCTCAAGGTGTATTAGCTATAGTGTATTGCTATTAGTGCTTCTGATTGGGAATATGAATTTTGTGCATTTTAAAAGTGAATTTTCATTGATCATATTCTTTTGAATGAACTAATTTTTCATCTGTAACTTACTATAACCTCACCTATAGTTAATAGCTGGCCCAGCATAATGCAGTCCACAGTCTGAGTGTACTGGATGATTGATTCTGTCGTGTAACTCAAATAGGGATCAGTAACAATCCTGGAAATAAACCCCCTTGGTCTCGCTTGGACTTATTTCAATTGTATGTTCATGGATGCTATTGACTTCATTAGATTAGATATATTACCAATTGGTGCTGTCTTAATTATATTTGTGGATTCATGATCCCTTCTTAATTCTCCCAGCTGAATATTCCTCTCAAATTAACTGATATGGGTTAAAATTTTAAATTTCACAATGATTCAGAAACATTGGAAGTCCTAGACTTGTATAACAAAGTAACAACTACTATTTGGATAAGATGTTATTTTGGTGGACTTGTCAAAAAATTCTGCTGTTACAATTGAAGCAACTTCTAGAATATGTTTCAGTCCAATAAGCAGTATTATTGTTGGATACATCTCTACCTCTGAAGTTTTCTTGTTGTATCCTATAAATTTATTATATCAAACATAATTGTTTGCATCTTCCATTGTTGATTTTTCTTGATTATCAGTATTCTTTTCCTTTTTCTTTTTTCTTTCTTTATTTATTTTTTTACATGTAGTACAGTATAATAATTATAAAATGGATACAAGTATTTCCTCCCTGCTAAAACATTTATCCTTTCTCTTACCTTGTTTATTTCGATTTACAGGAGGAACTGCTTCCTGGTGGACATGGGCTTATGGTCCGGGGTTACCTCCCGGTAATAAATACGCTAGCCAAAGGTCTTGACATCCGCTTGGGTCACAGGTAATATTAATGACCAATTCAATCATTATCTTGTTCTTTATCCTGTATTCTGCTGTGACTGAATTAAGTTCGCATTGGTTATCCTTGCTTCTATGTTCCTAAGGGTTACAAAAGTAGCAAGACGTTATAATGGAGTGAAGGTAACGGTTGAAGATGGGAGGACATTCATAGCAGATGCTGCTATTGTTGCTGTTCCTCTCGGTGTTTTGAAATCCAATCGCATCACGTTTGAACCGAGATTACCTGAGTGGAAGGAAGCGGCTATAGCCGACCTTGGAGTGGGGATTGAGAACAAGATACTTCTGCATTTCAAAAAGGTGTTTTGGCCAAATGTAGAGTTTCTGGGAGTGGTTGCAGAGACTTCTTATGGATGCAGCTACTTTCTCAATCTTCACAAGGCTACTGGTCATCCTGTCCTAGTCTATATGCCTGCAGGACAGCTGGCTCGTGATATTGAGAAAATGTCAGATGAAACTGCAGCTAATTTTGCTTTTATGCAACTTAAAAAAATTCTTCCTGATGCTTCCACCCCGGTAAATTTACTACCTTTATTTCTAGTTTTTCACGTATCTGAAATTTTTTTTTTTTTTTTTCTCTATGCATGTTTCTATGTATCACTCCTCTCAAATTGCCGTGCTTGTGTCTCATATTGTTTTCTTTTTCTTTTCATCCTCAAACTGGTCCCAATATGGTGGGTAATTTAAAATAATTTGTGCTGGAAGAAATACACAAATAATTATGAACTCGTGTCAAACTAAGTTCCATGTATTTTGAAATTCTTTAGAATGTTAACCTCTTCCTTTTTGGGGTGTGTGCTGTGAAATTTATGCAGATTCAATATCTTGTTTCTCGGTGGGGCACAGATGAGAACTCTCTTGGCTCCTATAGCTATGATACAGTAGGAAAACCCCATGATCTGTATGAGAGGCTAAGGATCCCTGTTGATAACTTATTTTTTGCGGGGGAGGCAACAAGTATGGACTACCCAGGGTCCGTGCATGGTGCATACTCAACTGGATTAATGGCTGCCGAGGACTGTAGGATGCGTGTCCTGGAGCGGTATGGGGAGTTGGACCTATTCCAACCGGTCATGGGTGAAGATACACCTGTGTCTATTCCGCTATTGATATCTCGCATGTAACTTGATGCTTCCTCTGCTCATAACAGATTATATGCATATTTGTTTAGATGGTATACCATCAATTGATTAGAGTCTCTGGAAAGATTGAGGAAACATTGTTTTCCCAATGGAACTGTTGGTTGATATTTAGAGTCCTCTGCTATGTTGTGAGGTACGTAGTGTTTCTGATAGTCTCGAGTTTGGTGTTGTAGCATATACTCAGCTATATCAAAATAAGAAGTTGAAAAGACTGGTCTGATCCCAGCTATGTTATAAAATGTCACTTTGTTATGGGACATACGTTTGGTACAATTATATTAAATAATAATTTCGTGGCTCTCTCGCTCGCTCTCTCTCTCTCTCTCTCTCTCTCTCTCTCTCTCTCACACACACACACACACACACACACACACACACACGGAAAGCCGCACATTTTATGCTGTTAGCTTTTGCTACTCTCAAAAGAGATGGAATTGATGTGTATAGATTTTTATTTATTTGGGCAGCTTCTTAGGCGGAAGGGGGGGTGGTTATGCAAAGATTCTTTATTTTTTTTTTTCCCTCTTAAATAATAATATAAGAATTTATATTTTTTTGCTACATGTATCACAATACTTATAATTAAAAAAAAAAAAAAAAAAAACTTATAAAAAAGAGTAAAATTCATAGTTATGAGTGCAAATAAATGTTATTATTATTATTCTTATTTTTAGTTGGCGCACATGCCTGTACTGAAACTTGAACCTTTGGGCATGATACCGTTTAGCGATTGACTTAATATTTCTTTAGTATGTGTAGTTAAATCTTGGATCATTTTTCTTTAATTTTTTTTTTTTTTTTCTCTTAAAATTCAACTGAACAAATTGACAGGTACGCTTACTATTTTATGGAGTACCATTTATTTAAAATTTATTTTTGTCAATTTAATTGTCAGATCAAATATCCATTTCATATATTTATATTTATGCACATTGTATAAAATAAAAAAATGTAATATAAATAATATAATAATAGTATATATAATATTTAATATGAGTAAATATATAATATTTGAACTTATATGTAGTTGCTCTCACAATTATGACTTTTATTTATTTATTTTTTTGTATATTTTTTTTAATTAAAAATATGGTGATGCGTGATGTCTATTTAAATATTTTTACTCAAGGATTAATTGTCCATTTCATATAAAAAAATATAATAAAAATAATATAATAATGGTATATATATCTAATATATAATAAGGATAACATATGAAATTTAAACTTACACCTAATTGCACTAATAATTATGAATTAATTTTTTTTTTTTTTTAATTTGACTGATACTTCTTTAATTAAAAGTACTGTGATGTATGTAATAAAAATATATATATTGAAAATTTATTATTCAAATATATATATATGTATAGGGGGGGAACATATGAAATTTGAACTTACACCTAATTGCACTAATAATTATGAATTAATTTTTATTTATTTTTTTTTTTAATTTGACTGATAGTTCTTTAATTAAAAGTACTGTGATGTATGTAATAAAAATATATATATTGAAAATTTATTATTCAAATATATATATATATATATATATATATTATAGTTAAATACAATTGAGTGAATTGCATAAAACATCTCTCGACCTGTGGAAGAAACTTAAAAGAAGAGCTTCCTGGAATGCTAAAAGCGCGTGGGAGTTCAATGTAATTTAGGTAGCTTTCCTTTGCTATAAATCAAATGGGATAAAATAATTGATTTGAACGGTTGGTAATTTTAAGATTATTTAGAGCATTTTTAACCGTTGTATATATATATATTTTTTATGTAAATATGATGTGTCATAATATATTTATATAAAAAATTTGAATTATTTATTTTTAGTTCCCGTGGTTATTTTATAGTTTTTGTGTAAAAAATATATTCTCAAATAACAACTAACTAGTGGCATGCTTGAACCCCACATAATTTTTACAAAACCTATTTGATTCTTTAATGGAATAAGAAAGAGAGAGGAGAAATGAAATATGCTAATGTGACTGTGTAAAAAAGTTGTGTAAAATACACAACAATTTTACATATTTGTGTATCTTAACAAATAGCTGGAGATAAAAAAATAAAAAATAAAATAAAATAAAATTACACATACAATGTATATTTTACACAAAAGATTGTTTTAACAACGGCTAGAGGTGCGTGGGAAATGATAACATTAGTTAGGGGAGAAAATAAGAAAATAATTTCTATTCATGTTTGGATAAGCATAAAAGAAAAGAAAAGAAATGATAGTATTTTTGTTTAAATAAGATAGCAAGAGAAAATAAAAGAAATAATAACAATCAAATTACTATCATACTATAAGTGGAATAATAATTTTTTTTTTTTTTTTAATTGGGGATGACAATTTCAAATATAAAAATACTTCTTAAACACTATCATTTTCTTCTTTATTTTCTAATATTTGAAAAAATGTAATATAAAGATAAAATGAAATAACTATTTCACCTATATAAATCTCTATCATTCCATTTATCTCCTTTTTAACTCGTCCAAACACAATCAAACTTTCAAATCTCTCCATCCAAACGAAGTAAGGCAGATTTTGTGGAGTGCATGTTCCCTTAATGGTGCGCACTTTCATTTTTGCACATGGTGGACCAAGATTCGGCAACTCTGAGGTGACATGTATCATATGACCGAGTGGTCCCAAAAGAGAGGGTGTGCGACTCTGAGACGACATGTATCATGTGAATTCATTATAATGACCGAGTGGTCCCAAAAGAGAGGGTGTGACTTTCTAAAGGATATTTTATGCCCGTTTTGCTCTTTTCTAAATGAGGCTATACTAAAGTTACCCAAGCATCAAGTCCACGGACTTTATAAATTCATGAGTTTTGCTAAAATGGACGGTTTTTGAAGTTGGTACATGAGATGACGTGGTGTAATGTCACGTCACCAATCTTTTGTTTTCTTTTATTTCATTTTTCTCTTATAAAATCTTTCATTTTCTATTTCCTATTTAAATTATATTTTCGCTTGTTTTATTTTATTTTACTTTACTTTATTTATTTCCTTTTAAGTAATATATGTATATATATATATATATATATATATATATATAGATAAAAGTGGTGCAAAATGGGTATCTTCAAAGAATATTTATTTTGGGGTGTAAGAACAATTAATAATTTAAAATACTTACAAAAACTCATAACATGGAATGATTTATTCTTTAAACATAAATAATTCAAGTATCATTGAAGCACTTATTCGTGAATGTGGACATTTGAATGTTTGAAAAGTTATGGAGTACGTTCTGTTGTGTGGTTCATATAAGCTTAAGAATGTTTAAGTATTGTAAGAATCGAGCATGTGATACGAGTTTATTATAAATATTTTAGTTTGTTATATATATATATATATATATATATATATATATATATTTGTTTTGCCCTTTTTTATCTTGTTGGCTGCCCAAATGTGCAACCTTTGAGGTTGGACGATGGCATGAAGTAATGCCATGTCACCAATCTTTTGTTTTCTTTTATTTCATTTTTTCTTTTATAATTTCTTTTATTTTCTATTTTTTTCCTTTTCGTTATATTTTTGCTTTATTTTTGTTTACTTTTTTTTTTTTCTTTTTTAAAAAATAGATATTTAAAGATAAAGTGGTGCAAAATAATTAAAAGTAATTACAAAAACTCATATAATTTTAAACTCATAACATGACGTGAACAAAATTTATTAATAATTACACGGAATGATTCATTCTTTAAACAACAAAATTTCTTAATAATTACACGGAATAATTCATTCTTTAAATGTAAATAATTCAAATATTATTAAAACACTTATTTACGAGTGAGGACGTTTAAGTGTACTGGAACGTTATGCAGTGCATTATGGTGTGCATGTGAGTTTAGGACCGTTTAGTTATAGGGATTGGATGTAGGTGGGGCATATATGAGCATGAGTATGAGTTTATTATATACTCTATATATTTTCGCTTATTTTCTTTTTTATTTCTATTTTTTATTTTGGTTTTTATTTCTCTTTTTGTTTTTGTTTTTATTTTTTTTATTTTTTGTGGGCTGCCCAAATGTGCAGCCTTTGAGATTGGTACATGAGATGATGTGGACTAATGCCACGTCACCAATATTTTGTTTTCTTTTATTTCATTATTTATTTTACAATTTCTTTTGTTATCTATTTTTTCTTTTCATTATATTTTCGCTTTGTTTTTCAATAAAAAAATTTTATTTTATTTTAAGAAAATATATTTAAAGATAAAAGTTGTGAAAAATGGGGTCTCTTCAAAGAATATTTATTTTGGGGTTTAAGAATAATTCATTACTAAAAATAATTACAAAAACCCATATAATTTTAGGCAAAACAAACATAATTTTCTTAATAATTACATGGAATGATTCATTCTTTAAACATAAACAATTCAACTATCATTGAAGCTCTTATTTGTGAGTGTAGGCGTTTGAGTGTGCTGTAACGTTATGGGGTGCGTTGTCGTGGGTGTGTGAGTGAATGTGAGTTTAAGATTGTTTAGTTGTAAGAATTGGGTGTAGATGAGTATGTATGAGCATCGATAATAAACTCCATATCGATATATATAGTTTTTTTTTCTCATTTATTTTTAATTTTTTTGTCGGCTGCGCAAATGGACAGTCTTTGAGATTGGTGTAGACCCAATGTTCTTGACCAAGGGTAAATGAGATATTTTGGTGATAACAAACCATTGAAGGCAGTGAATTTAATATCCATTCGAGTTTATGATAAATAGATTATATGCAAGAAACTCAAGTGAGCTTGTGGATCAATGGCAAAGCTAAGGAGGATTCTATACTTAAAGATGAAATCTTGAAGCTCAAAAAGAAAAGACATTGAAGTCAAAGATGGAGGCATCAACTCAAAGCTTAAAGAAAAGAAATATCAAAGAATTGGTAGAATAGTCTTGGGTGAGTGTTAACTTAAATTATAAAGTTATTTTTTGAAGTAACTCATTTGAAACATCATCTCTTGACTTAGTAGACTAAGGACTATGCATATCATTCATAAGTCCATAAACCATTAGCAATAGGTTATGAACCTCATTAAAGACAAATTTGATTTGTGAGGCCTTTGCTAAGGTTGAGTTAGTTCAAGCTTTCATAAGCTTTGAAATAACTTAACACTTAGAGCCACAAATACCAGGACTATGTATTTCAATCATATCAATTGAATTGGTCTCTAGAATTAGAGTAAAAGGCTTTGCACTTAATTGTTTCTATCTTGAAAAGTCTTTGTCAATTAAGAAATTCCTTAATTTTTTTTTTTTCCAAAGGCAAGAAAATCTTTTATTAGATGAAATTAAATATGAATACAATCCATATAAGCTTTTTCTTCTATGAAAGTTGGAAAAAAATCAGAAAAACATACAGTTTCTCTTCTCTGCATAGCATACTGGGTAAGACAATGAGCTAAAACATTTGCCTGCTTCTTCACCCAACCAATCTTCCATCAATCATGTAGTTTTATATAAGCCTGAATATCTCCCCAAATAGCTTCAATGTCAACTAAAACTTTTGATGGATTAATCACCAAACTACAATCTCCTTCAATCTCCACTTCTATTAATTCCCATGCTTGAGCCCACTTTAAGGCTAATCTTGCAGACATGGCTTCAGCTACTAATGTAGAAGCCATGTTTGGGAAGAAATGGATGACCGCCTTTAAAACCTTACCCCTACAATCATGCAGAACTAAGCTAGTAGCTGCATCTTTGGTCTGATCTCTATAAGCAGCATCAAAATTCAGCTTCAATCCATTTTCTACAGGAGCTTTCCATCGCACAACATCAGATTGAGAGGAACTGCTTATCCTAGCTTCATGGCCGCCTTTAATAACCTCTTGATACTCATTCCAATGGTGAAACGCTAACTGTATTAGAGCCCTCTCCCCAATCTCTTTCTGCTCATAATAAAATCTATTTCTACTCTTCCATAAATACCAGCAAACATAGACAATTAAGCTCATATATAAATCCCTGTCCTCTGTTTTTTCCCACAATTTCATTAGACCACAAAACCACTGCACCTATGTATTATTATGGAAACAATTAGAATTCGATCTGATAGGGCAAAATTTCCACACTTTAACAGCATAAGGGCATCTCAACATCACATGCTCAATAGATTCACTATCCAAACCACACCTCAAACAAATATCAGATTCCACAACTTGACGCTTCTTTAGATCTTCCAAAACTGGGACAATCCTATAGACAACTCCAAATAAAGTAACTCAATTTCTCCTTCACCTTAAGCTTCCATACTTTGTCCCAAAATCTATTAACAACTGCACATCCATTAATTCTTCTCTCATATCCCAACGATCTAGTAGCTCTTTGCAACCACTCAAGGGCAACCCTGTATGCAGATTTCACCGTAAAACTTCCATCATTTGAGAAATGCCATACTTTTTTATCCCTGACAGTAGTTTCACTTAATAGAATTGACAAAATTTTCTCAAACTCTTCTTAAGAAAAAAACTGAGAAATAAGCACAAAATTCCAAGATTTTGAATAAGGATCCACCAAGTCCTAAACTGTGCGCACATTACACCCTGTAGGACAAGGTGAAGAAATTTTAAAACCTGAAGCATTTGGAATCCATGGATCAGTCCATACCTACACTGCATTCCCTGTACCTACTCGCCACCCCAGGCCTCTCTGCACAACCTCTCTGGATGAACATATGCTCTTCCAAGCCTAACTTGAATTACCTCTTATTCTGGCCTCTAAAAAAGAATTGTGAGGATAATACTTTCCTTTGTAAATTCTTGAGAGTAGACTACCATTCTCCACCGCTAGCCGCCATCCTTGTTTAGCTAAAAGTGCAATATTAAACGCTTCGAGATCTCTGAAACCCAAGCCACCCTCTTGCTTATTCCTACACAACTGTTCCCATTTTAACCAGCACAAGTTCCGTCCTTCCTTAGACCTAGACCCAGACCACCAAAAGTGCATAACTTTACTACTCAAACTTTTGTAAACTCCCACAGCAAGCCTGAAACAACTCATGGTACACGTAGGAAGGGGTTGAAGAACAGACTTAATAAGAGTAGCCTTCCCAGCACTAGAAAAGAAACAATCTTTCCACCCTTTTATCTTGTCAACCATTCTGTCTTTAAGATATTTGAAAATCTATTTTTTGGGTCGACCAATCTCAGTTGGCAGCCCCAAATACCTGTCAAACCTTCCCCCAATGACAACTCCCAACCTTCTACTCAAATCTTCCCTCTCATCAACTGGGACATTAGCACTAAAAATAATGGACGATTTTGAGTAATTGATTTGTTGTCCTGTTAGTCTCTCATACCTGATCAGCAACTGTTTCAATACATTTAATTCCCTGTCATTTGCTTTACAAAACACCAAAGAATCATCAGCAAATAGCAAATGAGATATAGTTGGCCCTCTATTCATTCGAATCCCAAAGAAGTGTCCATCAGCCGTTGCCTTATTAATTAACTTGGTAAGTCCCTCTGCACATAATAGGAATAAGTAAGGTGATAAAGGATTACCTTGTCTAACCCCTCTAGATGGTACAAAGAGATCCCCTGCACTGCCATTCAACAAAATAGAGTAGGAGACAGTACTAACAGTTTCCATAACCACTGTAATCCACTTGTCATCAAAACCCAATTTATTCAACACTTTGCGTAAATAAGTCCACTCCACCCTATCATAAGCCTTTGCCATGTCCAACTTCACTGCCATGAATTTATTTTTCCTTCCAGCCCTGGTTTTCAAAAAATGAACTACCTCATGTGCAATAAGTATATTATCCGTTATTAATCTCCCTGGCACAAACACACTTTGCTCTTCACTAATAATACTAGCTAACAAAGGTTTTAAGCGATTAGCTAATATTTTAATAAAAAGCCTCATTACCACATTGCACAGTGAGATCGGTCGAAATTGAGCTATGTTAGTAGGTACTCTCACCTTCGGAATCAACACAACTTTGGTGGCATTTAGGCTTTTCAAAAGCTGACCATGCTCTAAAAAATCATTAAAAAAACATATAAGATCTCCCTTTATCACATCCCAGTATTGTTGGTAGAAAATTGGTGTAACTGCATCAGGTCCCGGTGCTTTGAGTGGAGCCATTTCCATTAGAGCTTGATGCACTTCCCCCTCAGTAGCTTTTTGCATTAATTTCTGGTTCATCTCAGCAGTAACCATTGGTTCCCACAAATTCCAGAAAGCCTCATCATCAATAGATCCTGTAGAAGTAAACAAATTGTGGAAGTAATTCTCTGCTTCCCCTCTAATTGCTTGATCATCATCCAACCAATTTCCTTGGGAGTCCTCTAGTCCTTTTATCATATTTCGATTTCTCCTTCTCATGGTTGCAATATGAATTTTTTTTGAATTTCTATCACCATGTAACAACCACTCCTTCCGAGATTTTTGGCGCCAATACAATTCCTCATTTCTCCATTCTGCATTTATTTTCTTCTGGACTTGATCGCATGCATTTGTAGAGTAATCGCCCTCATTCTCTCTTACCCCTTTCAATTGAGCTTCCAACTGTTGAATTTGTAGTTGTAAGTTCCATTTCTTCTGTTTACTCCACAGCACAAGGTCTCTCTTACATCTTTTTAATTTTTCCTTCAAACAAAATTGTGAGGTACCATACCCTTCAAATTGCCAAGCCCTTTCAACAACGGAAGCACATTCCTCATCCTGAACTCACCTCGCGTCAAACATGAAACTTTTCCTCTTTGAGCCTTTTTTAAGAACAAATCTAACAAGATAACTGCATGGTCAGACCCAACAACATGGACGTGTTGAACAACAGCCGCTGAAAATTGAATTCGCCAATCCACAGTAGCTAGAACCCGATCCAACCTTTCCTTCACATTCGCATCCCCATCCCTATTGTTACACCATGTAAAAGGATAACCCATAAAACCCAAATCATGTAACTGGCAGTCAGCCACAAAGTCTTTAAAGCTCTTCAACGTCCAACCATGCCTTACTCTACCTCCTTTCTTCACCTCTGGATACAATAAATCATTAAAATCACCTAGCAAAACCCATTTTGATCCAACTGAAGTTTGTAATTTTCTAAGAAAATTCCATTGTTCTTTCCGAATTGCATCCTTTGTAGTAGCATAAATAGCAGTGAAACACCAATCCCGGTCTGGCTTACCTCCCTGCACCAAACATGTAACTTGAAAACTGGATGCCTTCATCACCGTGAGTGGTGTCTCGTTTTCCCAAAAAATAGCTAAACCTCCAGCTAGACCATTAGGATCTACACAAAATAAATTGTCTTACTTCAATTTCTGACGAACGACCTCTAATTTTTCCTTCATATTTTTTGTTTCAATTAAAACTATCACATTTGGGGAATGTTGGCGACCCAACTTAACCAATTGTCGAATTGTCAGGGGATTCCCCACACCCTGGCAATTCCAACTGCGAATTTTCATGATGACGTCGGGGGCCATTTAAGGCTGGCCGCCACCACCTCAAAATCCGATAACATACCAGTTTCCGTGTTAAACTGTTCCGTCGAATACTCCCTTTCAACAGTAGGGCACACCCTCTTGGCTTGTATTGCAACTTCATTTTGCTCCAAATCATCCAGTCCCCGCTTCTGCATCCTTTCCGTATCTTCCACTTGGGTACTACCATTCCTCGCTAGCTTCTTCAATCACTTCCAAGTAATTATCGCTTTCTTTTTCACAATTAGGGATTTCTGATTTGCACTATCAGTTGTTGCCGACTGATCATGAAGAGCTATGGGCTGGCTTGTACAGTTTGAAGAAGAGGGTTGTTTATTTGGGCCTACTAATAAAAAACCCATCTCATTTCCATTACTATTATGAAGCCCAGGTAAATCCTGACCCACATTATTAGAGCCCATATCATTTTGAATGATAGAGGGCATTAAATTTGGCACCCCTACTCCGTCTCCCACCACTGGATCTGGCCGTTGATTACGATCAGTTTCCCCAATTTCCTCACTTAATTTACCATTACCTTCAATAGCATTCACGACATCCGTTTCCTGATTTTCTGCTCCAATTAAAGATGTTCCCACATTCACTCTATTGCCCATGACAGACTCACTTTCCAGTACTCCCTCCCTTGCCGGCTCCGGCGACTTTTCTGAACTGTGTCGTGGCGAAAAACTACGGCATAATCGGCCAACTAGTCCTACTGCTTTCAACCATACCCCAAATTGAGTCTCCGTTCTTGACAATGGACCAGTATTCTCGCCTCTCCATAAACATTCTTTAACTTCATGATCAACACGTCCACTGATGGTAGTCTTTCATATTGAAAAGGCACCCAGATCCATTCTCCAAAATGCAACAAATGAATCCCTCGACGGAAAGGTTTTGAAATGTTCACTTCAGCTCTAATGCGTATGTAACGTCCTCCGAGATTGCTTGATTCACGGACTTTCACCGTCTCCACTGTAACAAAATTCTTCGCCAGCATTGCCGCCACAGTCTTCGTGGTTAGCCGGGTGTATTGATTGATGACCAACTTTTTATGTCGGAAAGTTTCTGGATTCGAGTCCGTAATGTGCCATTGCTTCAAAGATAGCAATCTTCCTTCAAAATGCCAAGGACCATTTTGTAGTGCGTGCATTCTATCATCAATTTTGTGCAAAACAAAGCCAAATATATTGTCCTTAACTCTGTAAATTTGCAAACGTTCCACCTTCCATACCTCCTGAAACACATTACGCAATCATGCCAAAGGAACAAGTTTATTCCCAAATTTTTTTCCAACAAGGCTATGCTCACACAACTCCACACCCTTCTGAACAGCTTCCTCATCAATCACCACAGTTTCCTCCTCTTCTGCGGATAGCTTAAAATTCCGTAACAAGTCAGTCAACGTTTCATCCATTTTCACTAGAAATCTTTGTGAAATGGAAAAAAAACAAATCACCTAAAGTCACCAAAGATGCTTTAGAAGCTCTCACGTTGTAAAGAAAAGAACGGAGAGAAGCCCTTCAGCGCAGTGCTAAGGGACATGTAGAAATTCCTTAAATTGGAATATCTTCAAAATATAAATATTCACACTTAGAGATGTTAAGGACCTTGAATCAATTTGATTGATCTATGCTAATATCCTTAGACACTTGAGAATTGGCCATGAAATTCATTGTTCATTTTATAAGGCCCGTGTCACTTTGAGTTAGTTTAAAACTCTAGTACCTAATGAACTTAATTAACATCATTTTAAATGGTCTTTAGATTTTCAGCAACAGGCCTTGTTCTTATTTAAGCCATCCAACGAGGTCCTATTGCTAGATATATGGCTATCTCACAACAAGCAATTTTTAGCCTTGAATATTTCCTGACCAATTTTCACTTAAATTGCCATAACTCTTTCTATGTTTAGAGTTTTTAAGTGAGGTTAGTGCCATTAGAAAGTTGATTTTGAGGCGGTCTTGTTGAGCACAAATTTGACCTAATGTGAACTTAAAAAAAGTGAGATATGACCATTTGAAGTTGGCAATGTTATACCAGGCACCTGAGAAGGCTTATAGGCCTGCTGATAATTCTAGAGAGCTCAGATTTTGAAAGAACATCTATATAAACCTTTTGACAAATATATGAGCCACTTGATATGTCATATCAGCCGCCTGATAGGACACATGAGCTGTTTGATAAGAACAAAATTTGAATATAATAGCTGGTTTAACTAGTTGACTTAATGTAAACTTACCCTTATACACCCAAACGACTATATTCTTCAAAGGGGCTATAAATATACAATGTATTGATATTGTGAGAATGCAAGAGAGCCATAAAGAGACTTCCCTGTGGGGATAAAATTGTTTGTCATTCTTGGGTAGAAATCTCTAATATGAATCACCATTGATGTGATATTCCGAATTTTCACAAACCCGGATAGTCAATACGACCAGAAAGTTGACCCGATAACGGATTCGAAATGCGGAAGCAAAAATAAAGAAAACAAGGTTCTTAGAGATAAACGGCATCCCAAGAACGCTAGAGTGACTTTCTATGAAGTCATAGAGTTGAAAAGAAAACAAAAATGCGGAAGCGATATTTTAAAAACGGAAAAGTTTAGCTCTAGGGGCAAAATCATAATTTCTAGAAAGTTATGGGTGCTATCGATTACACCATTGGATAGACAACGAAAAATTAACAAAGTTCAAAAAAAAAGTTCACCCAAATCGAAGTCCGGACGAGGGAGAAAAGACCCAACGAAAAATGGCGTCGCGGAGGCCGAAGGAGGGCGGCTTAGCGCCCCCATGTGCGTGCGGTGTGCACCCATGTGCCCGCTAGCGCGCACATCAACCCGCACGCCGCGTGTGGGGCGCCTTCACTGCTGCTGCGCTCCTACTTTGATAGAAAATGTGATTTTCAAATGGGATTTTGGACCCCAAAATAACCTTTTCTGGAAAAACACGAAAAAGAAACTCCCCTTAAAATAATTTTTCTAATCTGACTATGTCGAAAGAAAATTTTATTTTTAACTTAAAATGCCCAAAATACCCCTAAGATCAGTTTTGATGAAAAATGTCAAAATTCAATTTTTCTTTAAGTGTTCAAATGACTAAATATGAAGTTGTGTGCTAAAACGATTGTGCACGCAAACTTAATAAGTGTTTTGAAGTGTGTAGGAATGGTCCATGACCCCCAATTATGCCCAATACAAAATCCGACCTATCAAACCTTAAAAATGTCTTAAAATGGGAAATTTGAAACTTAACATCGAGCATAACATGCAACCATGATAATTTATGCAATGTGAACATTCTAGCAAGTGTAATATACATAATAAAATGTGTCCCAATGGCCCATGGCCTCAAAATACTCTAGATGCAAAATATGGCATGCTTGAATCCTAAAATCATGAAAAATACCCTTTTTAAGCACTTTGTGAAGTCAATCATCATAAATGCATTCAAAAGACCGTTTGGCCCTTGGCCACACGTCACATGTGATATATGAACACTATGAAAAATGATAAAACACACTTCCACCATCCAAGCTAAAAATGACATACTAAAGCTTTGCATTTTCTAATTTTTCACATATTTAAGCATATAACCAAGTAACATAAAAGTAAAGCATGATGTCTTTGGCCCTTGGCTCCATCACATACATGTCACATATGTCTCAAATGATGCATTTAGGTACCTATTACATATTCCAAATAGAAGCTATAAGTCTTAACATAATAAACCCAAAATAAAGCAAAATCATGCTAATAAGTGCATGAATGGAATTACTCCAATCTCATCAAGCTACAAGCAAGCTCAAGGATGTTGTACATCCCTAAAGCATGATTCTTTACCTGAAAAATATCCCAACAATGAGGGTGAGTAAACAAGTTATTCGTAGGAAATGAACATGCGTATAACCTAAAGTTTTGCAAGTCTTTATAAGTTGATATAAATCAATCTATGTGATTCATGCCACCTAACGTCTATGTCCAATGTGAAACTAAGGGATCATCCTAAGCTACATTAGAATATCCACATCATAAACCACAACATATAAGCAATTAAACAACATTGAAACATCAAATGCAAAATAACAAAATATAAATTCACAAAGTAAGCAACTTGAATTTAAAATGCGAAATCAAACAAGTAGAAAGACTAAGACATGCGGTTATAAGATCGAGCAAGTTGTTTTGGGTAATTACGACCCTCAAGGAACTACCTAGTGCACACTTTGTGACTAAGGAAGACTCTTGTCCCTGTACTAGTGCCGAGCCCTAGCCATCACATAAATTATGTCTTTATAAGTTTTCCAAAATTAACAAGTTGTACACCACAAGTATATACATATATACTAAATGTACATAATCAAATACCATACGCAACCAAGATGTGAGAACACACAAGACATGCCCTAAGTTCTTAACTATCATGGCATGTAACATAATAAGCCTTCAAAACATCAAAGATGCAAATAAATCATAAATTAATTAAATGGAAACTAATTAAACAAAAATTAATTAATTTTTCTAGATTGCAAAACATCACCAAATGACATGAAACTAACACATAATAAGCAACATACCATGAATAACTCAAATATCAAATCAAAAGTCTAATTAAGTCATTAAACACTTAATTAATTTTTAATTAATTAAAAATCTCTAGATTTCAAAAGTCATCCAAAAATTCCAAAAATAATATATGATGAACTACAAGTCATGGGCTCTCCAAATATTATATTCTTAATTAAATCTAAGCATGCTTTAACTATGAAATTAAATCATCATTTAATTAAAGTAAAAACCATTTCTAGATCTAAACTTTAAACATGCATATAAGTTATATAAACCTCAAAAACATGTAAAACTCTAAGATTATAAATATGAAACACCCCCTACCTCGCTTTGAGATGAAAATCTCAAATCCCACCAAAATCAAATTCCATAAAATGCGATAAAATTTCGGGGTTTTGACGGGGACAACAAGGAGAGCAAGAAATCCTCAAGAGACAAGACCCAAATCCAAGCTTGAACTCCCAACCCAAAATTTAAAGTGCTGCAAATCAAAAATCGATCGGATAGAAATTACCGCGTCATCGAGGACATAAAAAAAGTCTAAACCACGAGAAGGTAAATCAAAGAGGAAGTAGATGAAAAGAG